AATTAATTGACATATTACTGATCTTGCTGGATTTTATTCTGCTTTACTTCCATAAATTGCAGGATCATCTTTACTTTATCTTTGCCAGAAGATTTAAACTTTAAAAGTCTTGCCCTCATAATTCGCAAGTTAATTTATTTATAAAGTAAATATAAACGCTGCTTAAGCTAATTCAAATGAAATTAAAAGTAAAATAAGTAGCCAACCTTATCACTGTCTGTAACCTACTAACACGGTAAGGAAAGCATCAGATGAGCTACCTGAGAAACTAACGTTACGTTTCCCCTCTTTAAAACCAAACAAACATGGTGGTTCCGTGCCATGTTAATTTCTTTTGAAAAAAGTTGCATGTTATCACTTTTTTCGCTTTACAAAGCGCAGGCTATTTTAATTATTGTGATCAATTTGCGCCGTCAATCCCGGTGCATGCGCGCTTCATTTGCAGTCTGGACGCTGAGGCTCTGACTGAGAGGGACTCCTGCGGGAAAACGCGGTTGGGGTGGGGGAGGCGCCCCACGGCAGAGTAGGAACGATGCATGCTTTCACGTAAGAGTCTCCAAAAGCCGCCAGTGACACCGAAAAAAGTCGCCAGATTTGTCGCTAGTCGCTTTTTTGAAAAATAGTCGCTGGGGAGGTCTGAAAAGTCGCGGAGTTGGCAACACTGCACCTGCGGCGCTGACTCGCTCTGCCGTATTTTTTTTTCTTCCTCTTTCAGTCAAGAGGCAGTGATGACGGCGCGGCAGATGACGCAATAATCGCGCGACACAACTAATCGATGATGAAATTCGTTGCCAACGCTTTTAAAAGTCGATTTTTATCGATTTTATCGATTCGTTGTTGCAGCCCTAGTCTGGACATAAGCTCCATCCATCTTCCAACTTCAAATCTGACCTAGTTACCGATGACTTTTGAAGATAATCATCCCGATAGCAGAATAGTGCCACCACCAAGTTTCGAAAATGGTGTATTTAGGGTGCAGTATATATTCCTATGGGAATCAGAGTGGTAGAAGGAAATGTTTTGGTAGTTCTGCATCATATTTTGATTATTTAGGTGTTCTGTGTGGTATATTTAAAGCTTAGGACACCTATTTCTAACTTTACCCGTCTTAACACTTTTTCCTAACTTTATTCCCGACCTATCTGGTGTATCTGGGTCTTCATGATGCAGTTTCTTCAAAATCTAAAACACTTCTGAGAACCTAAAGCAGGCAGATTACACCTAGATTAAAATCAGACAAAGGTAGATCCCAATTTAAAGATGTGCTAATTCAACCAGGCCCTTAATTCACCTTAGCCTCCTGGGTGTCCTATTAGATCATTGAGGGACATTGCCTCTCATTCAATTTCATGCACTACACTGGGTTTGTCCGTTCAGGTCCACAGATGATCAAATACAATTAATTAATAGGGAAAAAAATAGTAATTCTTGAGTTTATTTAGCCTTTTAAAGAGTTTTTACAGCCAAGCTGCCTGTAGATTAGTATCCCACACAAACTGAAGAATCATATTGTAGAGGTCAGAATTGGAACGACATCCAGCTGTGATGTTACATTTTTAAGACTGATTTTTTGCTGAGAAATGTCCTATTAACGTGTTTTTAAGGTAAGTTGAAAACAATAACTAATAACTAAACTAACTAATTTAGAACTTATGTTTAGGCTAGAAGACAGTTTTAGATACCAGACCACTAGTTGGTGCAGGAAACAGCAGTGAACGCCACGTCCACTCAGCCTTCTGTGTCTCGCTCGCTGACTTAAAGCTGTTAGCTCGCAATGAAAGCATCAGCGTTGTGTTTGCATTTATTATGCAAACTCTTGTGTTCAAATTTTTTTTTTAAACGAACTAAACACCGGTGAAAAAATCTCAGTAAGTTCAAGATGTATGAATACGTTTGTAATTACATAACAATTAAAGTAATTAAACAGACGTATCTAGCAATGCAGCTCCTGAATGGATGAAATGTAGATAATACGTGTTTTTTTTTTGTTTTGTTTTATGTCCTCAAAAAACTGAAACTTTATAAATTTAGAGAAGATATAAATGTCTAACAGCATTGTATGCTCTGCACAAGAAACTGTTTTCTCCAAATAAAAAGATAAACTCTTAACTACTCTGTCAGGGATAACACCTGAGGTATGATTTACTAAAGCTGAAATATAGTGAAATAAATTGTCTCTTTTTAGACAAGTAAAAAAAAAAAAAGAAGTGTTAAAGTAAATGTCCATCTTTTTCCTGCCTGCTGTGTGTTTACGGTACTAATATAATGCAAAAATAATAAAAACTGAAATTACTAGTGGCCCCTATATTTAGAGAATCGTGGCCCGTAACCCCTTCAAACTGACAAAAAAAAATCATAAATCACAAAGGAGGATGGCTAAATTATGCTAAAGTGTGCTAACTGATTAGCATTAATGTGCTCACTTTCTTCCCTAAGCGCTGAGGCATGGCGGTTTGTTCTTCTGCCGACAGACAATACCATTAACCTTTGCAATTCAGCCTCTGCAGGGTGGCAGAGGCACTGACCCCTAAACTAGATGTTGCTACTGAGGGAAACTGAAGGGAGTTGAGGAGAGTCTGAAAAAATGATCTTCATAAAAATAAAACAAAATGCAAACCACGTCATCAGGGATTGGGGGAAGAGTTATAGTTAGAATCTAGTTCATGCATAATATCATCTCCTTTGACACAATAGAGATACATTTCAGCATAAATCAAGAGGATGCGCAGACGGGTAAAGGAGGGAGGGAGCCATAGTGTTCGCTATAAGATGCTCTTTCTGAGGACAGGTTCAAATAAATACCTCACAGCAAATATGTTAACCAGAAACTTGGAAAACCGATTTAAAATTCAGGTTTCTAAGCTTTAAAATCAAGTATGAACAATATTTTTTAAATACTTTTCCTATAACTGTGTGATTTAGGTTTGCTCTTATTTATACTATTATTTATTGGCCTATTCTTTATTATCAATCTGCTAAAAAAAAACTTTAATTTTTTAACCCTTGAAATTCTGCAGTTTTTTTGTTGTCTAAAAAGAGGCATCAGACAACACACAAGCACTCTAAGAGGTCGTTGTTCACCATACTGACCCAGCTTGTTAAAAAAATGAAGCAACAAGCTACAGCCAAAAAATAAATAAATAAATAATACTTTTAACAGTCTAAAAGATTTAAGGTTTACTCTGCTGTGACATGCATAAAGCAGCACATTTATGCTGGCAATGCTAAATATCTAATTTTGTCAAAAAATGTATTCTAAAATGAAACCCTCCTTAATTTTGTGTTTATGGTTCAGGCAAGCTATGCAATAATGTTTTGTTTCATCACTGTTTTTTTATTCTATGTAGCGTGTATAATAAAGGTTCTACTATATGAAATGTATTCATTTATTTATTGATACTACAAAGCATGGAAAAAAACAAAACATTTAAAGAAAAATAAAGATACGCATTTTTCTGGTTTCTCTGGTTCCATTTAAAGTCAATAACAGGATAACCAGCTCTGGGGATACAGATGAAATGGGCCCTGAAAGCTGCGTACGCTGACCTCCACAGAAAGGTTGTGATTTATATAAAAAAAAATAAAAAAACATTTCCTTACCATCACATTCCTCTTTCTTGATGATTAACGGGTTCAATCATAACACAGATCAATATATAAATGCAACAAAGTGTGAGGAATTAACATAAACTGCAGTAAACGCAGAAAAACGTCCAAACCACCTGTTCGTGAGGTTGGGCGATGGATGATAACTATGACTTTGGAAATAGGAGGATAAGAAGGTGAACACATTTTCTAGGGATTGTGGAACGGTGCTGACAAAACACAGTTAAATATAACCCTTAAAATAAGTAGTTGTAAATTCAATTTAACTAGATTGAAAAGATTTAAATTGTTTTTAAAGTTCATCTCCTGAACAGAATAAACTAGCTTCACATCTCCAGTTCTCATTTATAGATTTTTAGTTTTTCTGAGAAACAATTTGAAAATGTAAAGAAATAACCAATATATCTGTTTTTTAGCAGGGATAGCTTAGTTATAGTGAAGCATGAAAAGTGAACAGAGGGACTATTTTTGCCTTTGAATACTTTATTTTAAAGAAGAGGTTTTTTGGATTCATTTCTTCACAAGAAGTCGAGGGAAGCTTATCGGAGTCCGGTGGGTCAGAGCTGAATCAGCTTGAGCCGTTTGGCTTAAGAGGCAGCAGAGGACAGGAAGAGAACCTGAACGCTACACTGGAAAAAATCTAAATCTAGATAAGTCATTTTTTCTTAAAATAAGTGTATTTTTTCTTAGATTGAGGAGGTAAAAGATACATCTTACCAATGGAACAAGTCTTATTTCAAGTGCAGAGTAAAAATCCTCATTCCATTGGCAAACTATCTCCTTTACCTTCTCAAATTAAGGGTAAATACACTTAATTTAAGAAATCTGTACTTAATTCTAGATAATTTTTCCAGTGCAAGCTATGCTGATTAACAGCTGTGCCTGCGACACAGGCATGTACCAGCATGTAGCATTTAAACCACCCAACTAGAAATATCTTACATGAAATAAAACCCAGTAACATGAAAAATAGCACCATATAAGCCCAGTTTATAAGGTATAAATACAAAGAATAAGTTAATTTTGGAGTCAGATACACTCTAAATAACTTCAGATCAGAGAATAAGACCATTATACCCCTCCACACCCCCAAATTAGCCCTCCTAAGGTCTTCAGATCAAGTTCTTTTTCTTTTGTCTTCATATTTGTTCTTCTCTTGTTAATACTGGATACACATCTCTAATATTCATATACACTCATGGTTAGAGGTTCCAATGAAGGTTAAAGGACTCTACTTTACACATGAGAATCCTCTTCTGGCTCCAGATCACCAATAGTGACCATGTAATACTGAGGTACCCAGCTGTGACTGTGTGGGGCTAAATATCCCCCTACTAAGCCTTTAATGATGGGTTAGGTCTTAGAGTCAAGCTGGAGGGGTTACTATGGGTTACCTGGTACTGTTGATAGTTGTAAAGATTGCCATAATATGTGGGGAAGCGCGAAGGCTGGTAGACGTTGTAGTAAGGAGTTTCCAGAAGGAGGTCAGGCGCTCCGTCGGTATGAGGCCGAACAGCAGCTGAGGAGCTGGAAGGTGGTGAAGAGACACCTCCTGGAAAAAGAAACAACAAATAAACTGTATTGTTCGAGGCCATTCTTTCTATATAAAATATTGCTTCGCTTTAAGTGAACTTATTAGGATCCATCTAAAAAATCCTCAAAGGTTAAATAAATGTTTGTGCATTTATGTGCAGAGCTTCTGCTCATCCTGTCCAATTTAAAATTAAACGGCGCCATCTTCTGGTGGCCGTCATGTTTAGTTTTATATCTGAAAAAACAAGAAAACTTAAAATTGAGTTGCATCGTTTTTTATGCCACTCAGTTTTACATTCATATGCAAAGAAACAGCAATCTGTGAACAGCTAGTTTATTAAGTATTTCATCTGCAAAGTCTCCCTTCCTCTGTGGAGGACACCTGTCATACCAGCTATCTGAAACTGAATTTCATTAATAATAAAGTTTATTCATCAAAATTACAATACACAGCTGAACTACATCCCTCTCTTTTTCACATGAATGACTTCTCAATTATATTCCAATGTATCTATATGGACCTGTATGATAAAAAATGGATACTTATTCTAGGATGAAAAGTACAAGATAATTACTGGCTATCTGGTGTACTCTGCTTATCAGCAAGGCCACATTCTTCCCAGGAAGACCCTGTTCTTCTGGTTTTTACACAAGAGACAAAGTGCATCACTGTGTCCAAAGATATGACATCTTTTGTCCCAGCATGTCTTTTCATCACTGAGTGCTTGACTCCTTTCCCAGCATAAATTCTCACTGTTTTGAGGACAGAAAAGGGAGGAATTGAATGGCCTTGACAGTGATGATCAGCCCATATCACAAGTTACCACACTAATGATCAAAAACGGCTTTCTGTTTTACCTTAATAAATAAATTTTTAAATATTTATAGATCTTAATTTGTTTTACAACTTTTACACTGTTTTCTAGGCACAGTTAGGGATGTGGATCGAAACCCGGTTCCATCAAGGACCCGGTTCCACTTTTTTCAAAACCCGAAAATCAATAACGTTTGGGCTTATCGATACCACTATCGAGTCTGGTCGTTTTTTTTTTTTTCTCCCGGAGGTCCTGTAACATAATTGTGTGTCCCTCGAGTCGCGTCACAGCATTTAAATCTAATCAATCCAATCACTGCAGCATGTCCACCAATGTTTTGGAATTAAATTGTAAGCAAACAGATATTAAAAGTAAAACAAGTGAAGTCTGGCACTTAACTTTGCTCGCGACTTGAGAATGGCTGAACGGAAAAGACTCCTCCTCCTCCTGCTGCTGCCGCCGCACCATCATCATTCACTCAGAGTACCACTGGTAAGCGCGCACACAGACTTTGTAGCCTGTCCGGTCAGTTAAAAACAGTAATTGTGAAATCCGTCTTGTAATCGGAAGCATACAAGCTAGTTAGCTTGAAAAGTAAATAAAGTTTCAGACGCGCTGCGTGATGATGTGTTCAGATTGGCTCAGTAAAACGACAATTAGGTTATCATGATGCGTTCAAGTGTAACGTAAAGAAAACGGGAAATTTAGTTTTTGGCGAGAAACATGAGTAATACAGTTGTATATTGCTCTAATTATTTTAGAATATATAATTAAACTACTGATGCCAACATTTATTAAAAATTACATTTAATTTAAAATACAATTATTTATTTGTTAAATATTTTCCTAATCACTAAAAACATGATGAAAAGTGACAGTAGACAATACATCAACCAACAATTGTGAAAATATATTCTAGTTAGTTTTATGTCATTTCGAAGTGGCCTATTACATTAGCCATGTTTACTGAAGGCTAGAAACGTTTTTGTTATGCTCACTTGTTAAGCAATAAAAGCAATACCAGTTCTGTTAAAAACATTTTGTTGCATCGTCTTTCCACCAAATAACAGAAAAGTATCGATAGTGGTATCGATAAAGACTCGGATCGATAAGGAGTATCGATAAAGGTATCGATATCAATAAATATTAACGATCCCCATCCCTAGGTACAGTGCACAGTCCTCCTGCACAAATATGTTAGTGAATCAAACTGAAAATTAACTAAGTGATGTTTGCTTTTAAATTACACATGTGTTGAATTGTAGTTCTTCATTGTAGTTTATTTTTTAAAGTAGGCTAATCAGGCTTTTAGCTAGGAATATTTCATAACGTTTACACCTTGGTGAATCACATCTTCAGGCTTTGTGCAGCATATTCTTCCCTGGAAGATGTTGAAATTTAGACTACCTGAAACGCTATTTCCTGCATTTTGAAGTGGAATGCAGCTAACTTTTTGTCTTTGCTACAAAACTACATTTGTCCTGGTTAATGGAAGTGTTTGACCAGAGGTGGAAATTTCATACGGAAGACATGAGATCATTTTTAGGTACAATATTATGTTTCATTAGTGAATTTCTCCGCTGTGAGAGCAATAAAGCTCATCTAATTCATACGTTAACACAATCACAAAGTGTAATGTTCTGCTCACACTGCGATTTGAGCTGCAAAAAAACGTCTGATGCTTTATTTTTTATGCTTGTCCATATTAAGGTCAGATAAGCCTCAAATGCATCTTTGATGCTCCTGAAGCGCGTCCCGTAAAGTGCATACAGATGCATCTAATGCTTCTGCTGCTCCTGCGTTCAATAATAATAATAATAATAATACATTTTATTTGAAAGCGCCTTATCAAAACACCCAAGGACACTGTACAGGCAGATAAAATATTAAAAACAGGCAGCTAAAAAGTACAAGCATAAGGATGCCACAGAAAACAAAACAGCAGGAAGTAAAATAAAGCCAAAGGAGGAAAACAATATTGGAGTGATGCATATGAACTAGATGGGATAAGACTGTCTGAACAGGAAAGTTCTGAGTCTGGATTTGAAAAGAGGGAAGGAGTCCAGAGTACGGAGATCCGGAGGGAGGGAGTTCCAGAGGTGGGGAGCAGAGCGACTAAATGCCCGGTTTCCCAATGTGACAAGACGGGCCGAGGGAACGGAGAGCTGGAAGGTGTGGGAGGATCGTAGGGAGCGGGTGGGGGTTTTAACGTGAAGGAGATCTGAGATGTAAGATGGAGCCAAGCTGTGGAGGGCCTTGAATGTAGTTAGCACAGAGCGGCTTTGCTATATTTGCTGTGATAAGTGGGTAAAAAGTAGTTCTGATACAGGGTTTCTACAACATAAGACAATTTAATTTCAAGACTTTCTAAGACTTTTTTCATCCCTTGAAATAAAACTTTAAAACCAACTTCAGAATAAACACAAGAAAACCTGGTTGCGACAAATTTAACCTGAGGCTTATTTTAACATAAACCATTACTTTCTGGCCCAGTATGAATGTTTACAATTTTGAAAAACTTTCCATATAGGAACAAAGCAAAAAAAAACCCCACTATTAACAGATACATTTTTAATGACTAATGAATGGAATTCACAAACTTTGTTTTGATCCCTACTCAAAGTCCATAATAGCTCTGTTTTCCAAAGTCCATAATAGCTCTGTTTTCATTGTAGGCGAACCACCAAACATTATCTGGAGATTTGGTGCTACTGGTGCTCTTTCTGACGTCGGAAATGCTGTAGAGGCCTTGCAGAGACAAGGGTGCAACAGAACTGAGAAATACCTGCTGCTTCTCTGTAACTTGATTTTGGTGCTTTTTTTTCGCCATTCCACGTTGAATTTACACTTCCCCACATTGTCCAGATAAAAAGTTATTGGCGCATCACCCCAAGGTCTGCAACATTGTTTTTATTGGTTCTGCAGTCAGGATGGAAATAATAATGGTTAAAGCTAAGCCGTTCAGTAAATGTCAAAAAATTATTGTGAATTATTAAAATTTTTGATATGAATTACAAAAATAAAATCCTATTTATGACTTGGTGACAATTTTTAGACCTATGAAAGACTGATTTAAGTACCAATTAAGGCCTTATTTTTATACTGAACAATTCAATGCCCTTTAAGACTTTTTAATGATCCGCAGGAACCCTGTTATATGTTTTTTGATGTGAGAAAGTCAACCTCAAAACATTATCTGTGCAGTCTGTTCATCAAGACTCCGATCCTGCCTAAAAATATTTAGCTGTGGGTTGAGCGCCGGTCCCCACATACCGGCTGTGCGCTGTCACTGGGAATCTAGCAACAGCTGCCTCAGGTAGGATCACGTGTACTACTACCTGTTCTACTTTTTTGGGATGACTATGACCTGGATGACTAGGAATCTTTATCAGCATAAAATTAAACATATTTTGCCAGCAGGTTAACATTTTAAGTTAATTTAGACATTAATAAACAGTTTCAGTGAAGTGATTTTAACTCTGCATCAGCAGTGCTGTGTCTGTCTTCCTGCAGTTTACAGATCAGCTTCTCTGATTGGTTGATGTTGCACGTCAAGCAGCAAAAAATCTAATTTTCCAACTCCAGCATCTGCTGCTTGTGAATTTTTGAACATTTGAGCAAAGTTTAGCTAAAAGCCTAATGAGGAAGAATTTGACAGTGAAGGATAATAGAGCATGATATACATTAGGGATGGAACGGTTCACAAAATCCACGGTTAGGTTCACGGTTTCGTGGTCACGGTTTTTGGTTCGGTATATGTTGATTGTTACATTGAAATCCCATAAAAAATTAATGAAATTAATGAAAAAAAAAATTAAAAAAAATTAATGAATTGTAATTATTTTTAATGATCCGCGGAAACCCTGGATCATTTCCGTATGTTTTGCTGCTTTGAATTTAATCATCTCGCGCATGCTCTCTACCATCTCCAAGGAACTCAGAGGGGAGCGAACGGGAGCCTCAGTGGAGGCTGTAGGCTTTGCTTTGTGCAGGCGGTCTGGAGCGTAGCGGGGCGGAGCGCTGACGGAGTATGTGGGATTTCGGGGTTAGCATGACATGTTGGTCATGTTGCTGTTAGCGTAAACAAAACATGTTGCACAATGTTGCACATTTATCCACAACTTTCTTTCCGCCGTCATCGTAGGTCACTCTAAATGCAAAGCGGTCTCATACAGCAGACCTATGAAGTGCTGCTGGCGCGTCTTCAAACTCCTGTTCTTTCCCACTCAATTCTCCACAACAATTTTTTTCTGCTACACCCGGCTACGCTGCTTCGCTTCTTCCTCTTCTTGTTTACTACTGGTGGTTGGCTTTGGTCGCAGTACCGCCACCTTCTGCTCTGGAGTGTAAACGCTTCGCCTATGAGAAAAAGGAGCAGCGCATGAACAAAACGAAACACACGCGAACTGAACCGAGACAGTCGAACCAAACGGTTCGGACGATTTTCATAAACCGTTCCATCCCTAATATACATACTACTAGGGCTGCAACTAACGATTATTTTGCAAATCGATTAATCTCTGGATTATTTTTTCAATTAATGGATTAATAATCAGATAGCCAAAGATATTTTAAAGAAGATTTTTTTACAAAATAAAACCAGGTGAAACTACACCTTTTCCACTTGAGGAGTTCTGGATAGAGCATATTGACAGACAGAAATGTTTTAGTTTTTTTTATCTGAAATGTAAAATGTTTAGACATTTTTTTATAAGTTTGATATAATTACTGCTCTATTTAGGTCACTCTGTCAGCTAAAGTTATATTTTACAGTCTCTGTACTTCAGTTAACAATTAATTGATTACTAAATTAGTTGACGATTATTTCAATAATCAATTAATCTTGATTAATCCGATTAATTGTTTCAGCCCTAGATACTAGATATTTCCCATTAGAGAGAGAAAAAAACGAATGCTTTTCAAGACATTTCAGCCTTGTATAAATAACCGCTATTAGTCATTTTTGCACAAACATATTAAAGACAGAGCTTTTTTGAGGGATATTATTCTAATTAAAGTGCTTTGAATGTTTCTATGATTTAAAATAACTTGAGAGAATTAAGACAATATAAGGAAACTGACAAAGGTCACCTTTCAGATCGGTTTAAGAACCTATTATTGATCTGAAGACGTTACAGTTCTCACTCTACACTCCAATCTTATGAAATATTACAGGAGAAACCCAAATTATGTCCTACAGTCACAAAAAAATCCAGTTTAAACGTTTTCCCCCAATGAATACATTTACTAAGTGTGAGGTTTTGCAAAATCTCAGGCCTCCTACATGCTTCCTATGGGCTGCAGGAAGTTTGCTGGGAACAGCAGGTGATAAAAGATTTGCATTTGCAATGAAGTGCCCACAAATCTTTTACCTTTTTTTGTAAAATATAGGCTACTTTCCATTTCTCACATAAGTGGTTAACAATTTGAGTGGCCTTTATATTAAAGAAGCTACAGGAAGGGATCCTTTTTGGGACAGCAGCGATTCACCTGACACAGCCAGAGGGGAGGGGCCGATGTTGAAGGGGGAGCTGGAGGATCGGCCTTCCACAGAGAACAGACAATCGGCAGCCGCTTCGTTTTTCATCATAACATCAGAGCCATATAAAGCCACAGGAATGCTTATTCCCATTTCCTCTTCTTGGGCCTGTTGTCTCCTTAGTGCGACCTTTAGGGAGAGGAAAACTTTATTATAATGGGTCTGGATTAAAACAAATATCCCCTTTATTACATTTACAAAATTAAAAAATACAAAATGATATTTTGGGACCGTGATTAAGACTAACTAGTTTTTAATGCTCCCTTCTAATAAGTTAGCAAACAGTACTTTGTAATCGATTGAGATTTATTTTCCCCTAAATAATTTCATACACTGATCACCTTCAATCTAAAGATGTAGCACACGTTTTTTATGTTTATAAAGGTGTTATCTTTTACAACAGTTTTACAAACAGAAAAATCCATAATATCAGTTTTCAACTCCAAATCTGTTTTTTTGTGTCATTAAAAAAAAGTCCACTTCAGAGAACAGAAACCAACCAACTATTAAAAACTGCAAATAGTTATCTCAGCTCATTTTTTAAATTTTTTTAATACTATTTGTTTAAAACAACAGAATTTACAGATTAAAACTGTCAGAAACATTTGTCCTCAATTGTTTTTCTCGGATACATAAAAATGTTTCGAAATGTAAGAATAAAATCAGCATTATTGTGAAAAATACAAACTAATGCAGAACTAAATTCATTACTATATTACAATAAAATAACGTCATATCTACCCTTTTTTACCAAGTAGTAAACGAACTGTTAAACTATAAAGGCTAAATAGAGTCATATCTGTTCCCAGTGGACACTGCAGCTGTTGATTTCAGTAGCTGATCAAATTCTAGGAGTTTGTCTTATTAAAAAGGAAAAAAAAAAAAAACATAATCCAGTGTTTTTTGCTTTTTTTTGTTTTGTTTTCTAAGTCGGGGATGGTTTATCTGTTTTATGTAATTGTATTTCTTGGTTTTAAAATTGATTAAAAATGAACAGAGCTGGATTATAATCATTCATGAAAGTTTTCTTGTGTTATTTTCATATAATAATATCTGAGGAAAATTCATGAATAAATAAACTTTAACAAGATAAATAATTACCAACATATCTGTAAGGAAAGTTTTCAGTCAATTATTCAATAATTTGCACTTTTCCCCTGACAAAGTACCTTATGTGCTAATTAAACAGTTTGATTAAAAACAACATTTATTGTGACTTTAGAAGTTATGTTTTAGATTATTTTAACTACAAGAAACTGAATTGAATCACTTTAAACGTTTGGCTCTGTCAAAATATCTGATATTTCATTTTTATTTTGAAAATATCAATGCAGAATAGCGAAAGTAACAATTTAAACATAGCCACGAATTACAGAAAAGACTGGATAAGCATGTTACAAAGTTTCCAGATAAGTTCTTTGAGAATACACAAAATAAATGTTTTATTATTAGTTTTAATCACTTTCAGCTTTTGTTTTCTGGGTATAATGTAGCAGAAATTCAAATTTAGCTCTATAGAAACTTAGCTAGCTTAGCATTTTCTTTTATCTTCGTTTTTCGTTTTTTTTTTTTCGTTTTTTTGGTGGCGGGACATTTTTGTTTAATATAAAAAAATGATACAAGTTAGAGTAACTTCTTTTAGGAGATTATATCATTCATTCATTTTTTTTCTCTGCTGAGTTTCCATGCCTGCAGGGCGGGAGTTAGGTGTTTTAGGGGCTGTTAGGGTGAAGGTGAAGCTTACCTGGGCCGCCATGACACGCTGCCTCTCAGCAATCAGTTTGCATTTGGGACACTGGCAGTCCTTCCAGTCGCAGAAGCGTTTGTGTCCTTTTAGAGCAGAGAAGAAACCGTGATTTCTGCAGCGAGAACATTTCGGCTTCCTGGGAGATTTGTGGCCTCTAGGCGGAGATGTGGGGTTTGGTCCCTCCTTGGTCTGCCTCTCCTTCCCCATGGCTGCCTGCTGATGGTGGCAGAAGATGGAGTCACTTTTATACTCTGAGGCCAGCCCCTCCCAGACACCGCATCCTTATCAGGAGAGAAGCTGTGAGGCATCCCTCCCTGAACTCAGCTAGAAATTAAAAAGGTTTTGTTTCAAAAACTTAAAATGTCATGAACAGGGGCGGACCTAGATGGGTGGCCATGCCCCCCCCCCACCACCACCACCACCATTTTTTCACCCCCATAATACTGACAGTGGCAGCAGTAATACTCTCAATATTCAAAACATTTTAATTTTTCATAAATTAACAATTACTTGACAACAAAAACGCTGTGGTTAATTATGAACATACTGTAAATCCTCTAATATAGGACAGGGCCTTTATTACTCTCAGGTACATCTAGGTCCAGGCCATTATTGGAAGGAGGCCAGAATTAGAGGCAGGCCTCTATTTCTATTTGACCAAAACAGACTACCAGTGGAATGAATAAAAACAAGATTTTATGTCTCTTTGAACCTATAAAATACTAGGTTAATTTATTGAAAAAGTATAGTTACCATAACGGTATACAGAACATTATTCAGACATCTTCCAGCAGCTTCAATTTTTCTGCACGGCAATAGAAAAAAAAAACAATAATAAGGGAAACTGTTGCAGGCTAAGTGGAGGTAGGCTACCAGTATCATATATTTCAAGGGAAATTCAGAACAACGTAGGCCAGCGAAAATCTGTCATTTTAACGCTTCCTGGTTAACGCCAGACCTACCGGTAATCACATGTGTCTGTCAGAAGATTGTGTGGCTGCTTATACTCCTGCAGCAGTGTGTCGCAGTGACCTTGACGCAGACATTTTTGATTTATGTTTAATATTGAATCATGGTCCGCGCTTTAGATTGTGGGTGTAGATACGGCCGGGGCGGTGAGGAAGTGGGGGCGAGTAGTCCGACAGCTGAGGGACATGACAGCGAAAAAGAACGGATATCCAGGTGGAAAAACGGTCCCAGAGTTCTAGTGCACCTCGCTCTTCTAGCTGGTCAACCTTCACGAGTTGTTTTCCGCAATTTCGGTCATAAAAACAAAACAAGCCTACCTCCTGTCTGCTGCACTGTCTGCGCTAAGGATGGGACTTCCCATGCTAATGGCTTGAATCCATTAACAAACATTGACCCCGCCCGGTGGTACTTGCCCAGGAACATTGTTGGTTCTAATTATAGCCCCGGCTTGTATAAGAGTCCGGCCACTATTTACCTCCATTGTCTTATTTTAAGTGCATGTTATTTAATTATCTTATTCTAAGAGTAGAAATACTAATTCCATTGGCAAAACATCTTATTTACAGATTCAAATTAAATTTAAGACATGATTTACTTATTTCCTGATCATTTTTTACAGTGTAATTGGAGATTTAAAAAAATAAATCAGAAATTCCTTATCAAGCATTTTAAAAAATAATAAAATTATCTTACCTTGTATTTTCACTCATATTTAACTCAAAACTTTTGTGGAAACTGTGAAAGCAATTTTCTAAAAAAATCTCTATTATGAGATAAGATACTATCTCATTATTATGAGATACATAAGTAATAATGTACTTACAAGTTTTACATCATAATGTAAATGCCGTAAAAAATCTAAGTACTTCAAACTTAAATATTCAAACTTACTCACAAACTTTGAGTTAATCGGTTTCCACAAATGTTGCGTGTATTCTGAACTTATTTGGGTTTACAGTAGGGTCCCAGAAATGCTAAATAGAGAGGGTAAAGCAAAACAGAAAATGCAAAAACAAAAGGGATTTGAATTTTTTATCTAAAAAGGACATGGAAGTGGACAAAGGTAAATGTTTGATATATATTTATAATCAGATCTGTGGTTTGTGTATCCATTTGGAAATAGAGTTTAAAATACATTTTCAAATCACAGTATTTAATAATCAATTAATCCACACAATTTACAATTCCTCTGAATCATGTGATTTAAAAAGTGCAATTACAAAACACCTGTCCCATTGTCTGATTTAATGACTTCAACATTTGTACTGAAAAATATCTATAAAATAGCCTTTTTATTTCACGCTTCACGACTTAAACATAGTTTGGTGAGCATCCACGTTACAAGGACCGAACCTAGGAAACAGCTGAATTGTTATACTGAAGATGGATTTTGTGGATACTTAGAAGCAAACAGCATCTAGCCCAACCCAAACACAATGGCAACTCCACCTAAAAAAAATAAAACTTTGTCAAGTATAAGCACGAGCTACAAGAATGAGCAAAAGAAAGCTGCACTCCTGTGTTTTGGCAACAGGTTGAAGTATCGTTAGAAAACTCCGTAATGCATGTTTTAATGTTACATTTGAAATGTCTTGTTTTTTTTTTGTTTTTTTCTTTTTCAGTGACTCTTCTGGTTTTCCATAGAAAGGTGTTTTTTTCTCTCTCTCTCTTATCTGAAACACTTGTCACATATGTCACAAAACGCATATATGGAAACTGTATACACAGGCCCTAATAACATGACAATAAATGACTATTTTGAGCAAGGATGTACAATAAAAGGAAAAAGGAAATACCTATCTGAGAGCAAAACTGTATGGTTATTAATAATAAGTCAACCTGGAGAGACCTGGAGGTTGAATTAAGGTTTTTATTGACATGGAGCCCCAAAGAACAATTATTTGACTTTCTTTTGCATTTATAATGATTTCTATATAGATTTAGTTGCAAAACACAATTTAATGTTAAAATTGTGCATTTCTACATTAATATATCTTTAACCATGTAGAAATCATTACTTATACATGAAAGAGATATTGATCTCTAGGCCAGATTGACACAGACGAGGAAGGTGCAGTCAAAATTTCTAAGATAAAATTATCTCTAGATATTTTTCAAAAAAAGTTGATATTTTACAATTTCTTTGACTTAATTGTGTCTGTTTTTCTAAAATTGAATCAATTATTTTTACTTATTAAAGCTTTGTATTTGTTTCTTATTGTTCTTGCAGTACAGCAGTGGTGGCAGCAGGGGGTGGTATACATACCCCTGGTAAAATCATACTGTAGCACCCCCAGGAAAAAATTTGATTAATATCATTTTCATCAGCTCATATTGTTGAACAAGTGACTGTTATAATATTCTTCTCACAAACACAACCAGTTCCAATTAAACTTGTTAATGTATATGAACAAAAAATAAACTTTAATGCATAAAGCTATGCCATACAAGTGAATCTGATACCTTTTCCATAGCTGCTCTCATTGTGAATTTTTAAGAAAACATAAGTTATTTTGTAATCTGTTTCTCTCACTGAAAAGATTTTCAATCCAATGACTTTAATAAACAATTACCTTTCTTTCTATAAGGTATTGTAGCAAAAGTCTTTTTTTTTCTCATTATGATCTGGAGGCTCTACATTTGGAAGTTAACTAAAATACGGGATGGGAATCTTTGGTCCAGATTGGGTTGTTTTTAGACAGGTGCCAACAGGAAACCAGTGCGCCTGTAAAATGGCCACTGTGCTGAAGATATGACACTAAAACTGTTTTATGTTATGCACTAAAATTGTAACCGATTTCTCCCTTGGACTGATTGGGTTTGTTATTAATATTCATTTTTTATTATTATTAAAAATGTTTATATACTTTTTTTATATACATTTTTATTTCTTATTTTTCTTTTTACAGGTTTACAATTCTAACGACGGAATATTAGGGCCAGGCTAAAGATTTTTATCGAGAATAAAGTCGTAATATTATGAGAATAAAGCTGAAAAATAACGAGAATGACGTCATTACACCACAACCCGTTTCGGAAAGAAAGCTTCGATAACAATAAGAAATTGTCAGACAAAAAATTATTCTCAAACCCCTCTTTTCTTCCTAAATATGTCTACCATGTCTGGGAGAACGCTAAATTTACGAGGGGTCCCGGAAGGCAGCGTTGCCAAGGCGACGCTGGAGTTTGGGAGCCCAGCCGAGGGATTCGAGTAAAACTAATCACGATGCCTAGAAAGAAAGAGAGAAAAAGCGACAAAAACAAGAAAAAACTGAACCTCGCGAGTCCTTTAACCAAAGCTGTCATCGACGATAAAGAAAAGAGTTTATATCAGAAGCAAATTGGATTTTTGAACGAGAAACTAGAAAGGTAACGTCCATGTTTTCTTACTTGAAGGTGAAATGGTAGCCATTTTTTAAATCAGTACATAAAGAAGTTTTCCTTGTAGATGGATTTTACGCCTTGACATTTTATTTGAGTTTGGCATATTTAAAAAAGGAACTTTCAAGTGGTTTCAACAAATTTCCCTTTTAATTCAAAGCTCCTTTTTTTAAATTAAATCAAAGCTCATAAATCTATAACCATGCTTCTATTATTTCTTTATATTAATCATCCATTGCAGGTCACTTGTTTAAACCTTTATCACCCTTCAAACATTTTGTTTTTCCTGCCTGAGATGTAAAGTTAATCAGTAGTTTTGTAAATAAGATGTGCTGCTGTAAACAAAAAAGGGCAAACTCTATAAAAACACAGTGAACAAAGTATATATAATGGCCTCACCTTTTTATTTCATTTTTAAATTTTCTAAAGTAAAACCGATTGTTTGATACCTGTATAAATAGCTGATTCCATCTCTTAAATATGGTGGAAAATAAAAACAATGCGTAAACATTAAAGAACAGGGTAGATGTTTGCTGTAAAAAAGCAGATATAACTAAAAGATGTTAAAATGTGTTAAATAAAAGCAAATAAATCTGATAATGAGGCCTAAAATCTCTGCAGTCTCCTATAAGTTCACTTTTCTCCCCATCTTTGTCCTCCAGGTTTCAGATCAAATGTGCTGAACTGGAGAAGCAGAACAAATTGCTAATTTCTCAGTACAGCTCACTGGACACGGAGAAGAAGGATGTTACAGAGTACCTGAAACGCACACTTTCTGAAAATCAGGACGAGGCTGATGATCTCCTGCAGCGTCTGGAGGCTCAACGTCAGGCTGCTGTCCAGGAGAAACAGTCCTTGCAGCTGAAACACGACAAACTGAGGCAGGAACTAGACGCCCAAATTAATGAACTTAATGAAAAAAACGCAGTGCTCGGTGAGACATTTTACTTCAAGATTACAAAATATCTTTGTAGTGTGGGCAGGAAGAATAACCCGTTCTTCTATAATTCCCCCTCCATGTCTACAAGATAATTCAGGGTCAGGATCTGTTCGGATGTTGAAACTGTTGCAACATCTGTTGTAGGTCTCTAGAGAACTTTTAATATTAGAGCTGAGGGCAAAAATGGCATTGAAATGATATAGATTAAAATGTCTCTCTCTCAAAAAGCAAAGGATCGTCAACGAATTGTTAGAATAGGAACCAATATCTGACACAAGGTCCTAACTCTTCCTCTTCCTTTCCTGACAGTAAAGAAACTTGTTGATCTGGAAGAGTTTCAGAGGCAAAAGGATGAACTGATGACAAAGCTTCAAAATCTAGAGAAGCAGCTGGAATGCCAACAAGAAAAACACAAGGATGAGATCCACAGCCTGGAGATGAAGGATCTGCTGGAAAAGAGGAAGTTAAGGTCATGATAGAGGGGGTTATTTCTCAATCTCTAAAGCCTCAAAGTCCTTTAGAGTAACATGGTTGTGTCTCGTAGTGGTTTTGACAACATATCCATCTTTTACTTTAGAATCATATGCTACTTTTGGTTAAATAATCACATAAAACAAGAACATAGGATTTATGATTATATTAAAGATTTTAGAGGGATTTTATCATCTGACATGTTTTTCCTTTTCTGGTTCTTTATTTCCTGAAAAAAGGTTGGAGATGGAAAGTGAAGTAGCAGCTATGTCATCCAAGGTCCAGCATCTAGTGGAACAGAAGCTTCCGGAGAAGATCAGGTCTGTGCTTCAGGAGAACACTGAGCTGAAGACTCGTCTCAGCAAGCTGTCAGAGGCGACCGAGTCCCTGCTGGAGGAGAACACGTCTCTGAGGGAACGCCGCAGACTGCTCAGCGTCGACAACGACATCCTGGAGCAAACTGTCCGTGAGACGTCTCGGATCAGCTGCGTCTGCAGGAAGGTGAGAGGCTTTCCTGCAGTGTCCCATCGTCTGGTTTCAAAATAAAATCCTGAGCAGACCCGGTGATCTCTCCATCAGGAGGTGCAGCAGCTTAGGGAAAAGTTTCAGCAGCTTCAGGAGGATGTCAGTGAAAAGCAGCAGCAACTGGAGCAGCTTCAAACTGAGCACACACGAGTCCTGGCCGACATGGAGGCACTCAGGTCCTGATTTAGCTTATTTGTGGAGTAAATTTTAGCCAACAATGGAAGAAGTGTTTTTCTTTGGATTTGACTCTATTAAATTTCTTTATGGAAAAAAAAAGCTTAGGCATTTCCTAATTAAAGCCCTTTATGGCAGAGAGATCATAAATGATTTGATCTTTAATGTAACCTTCAGATAAAAGTAGCAAACGAGGTGAAATAAAAAAGCAAATGAAAAAAACAGACATCAGAACTGATTAACCGGTCAGAAGGGAGCTGCATATCTAAGCAACATAACTCACAATAGTCTGTTATAGAGAAATCATTAGCCCAAAGAAATAAAAATATAGATTCAAATATCATTAGTTTGATCACTTTATGATTAGACTGTAAACTGATCATTACACTGATTAAAAATAGCAAAAGGTTCTGCTGTAACAGAACCTAAATCATGGTGTGTTTCCAGACTGGACCGGGCCTCTCTGTCCGCAGAGTGGAGCAGTAGCCGGATGGAAAGAAATCAGCTGGAGGTGAAGCTGAAAGACGAGAGGAGGAGGAAGAACAGGATGAGGAGCATCATGCAGGACGCAGCAAACAGTCTCCTACAGGTGCTGAAGGTAAAACTAGAAAAATAAAAACTCACTCTAAATTTACAGATTTCCTTCTCCAACACCCAGGAATATTCATCAAACCTCCTGCTGAGGTTAAAAACTATAACAAAAGTTTCATAGAAGAAAGTTCAAAATGATTATAAATAAATTATGATGGAACCCAGATATAAAGGATTGAAGTCAGACAATTAGTATATTAAATGAGAACATTAATAGTGAAATTTATTCCGATCAGTATTCATTTATGGGAAGTGCTTTTATTAGGAAATGGGAACCAAGAAACTGATTTTGTCTTTATCTAAAATCTAAATGTTGATCTTCATTTTATGTATTAAATGATCAAACTGAATAATAGCTTCTTTGTGATCCTCTAAGTAATCTCTTCTACACCAACCAGGTCCTCAAGGACCACAGTTCTTAATTTAGGCGTTTTCCTGCATCAACCTGAGTTAAATGCATCTTTGGACAACTTCCTGGTCAAATCTAAATCCACCAGCAGTATGAATTATTTAGGGCTTAAGTGTCCAGGTGCCTGCAAACATCCGGTTTGACGTTCCTTCACAGCATGAGGTTCTGATGAAGGGTTTGTTCCCATCAGGAGGCTCCAACACAACAGCAGGACGTGGACGCTGTCCCCCCGTGGAAGAGGACACTGCAGAACCTGCAGGAGCTGCTGAACCGACAATCAATCAGAGCTCTGTCTGCACAGAGAGAGCTGCAGAAATCTGACCCAGATTCAACACGGTAACAGTTCCCCTCTTTATGCTGCTCAGCATTCATGCTACGGTCTGAAACCTCCGGTGAGGGAGCAGAGATTGTTTTAGTTCCGAAACCATGCAGGGATACTAAAGGAGCTAAAGCATTGCAATGCGAGTCAAAATCCATAGGAGCATGTCTAGTATAGAGTGGTATCTCTATGGGGGACCAAACACCAAGATTTCTTGACATAAGACATTCTCCGTCCAAAACCAGCTTCAAGAAGCGGTTTCTTCTCCCCCTAGTTGCTTCTTTATCTCTTAAAATGCATGAAAACTAGATTTAATCTCATAGTGAAACTATGGATGGACTCGTGGCAGAAAACATTAAATTTTGCTTTATGTGGGAGTGGCTTTTAATACAGAACAGTAGAATGGCTGAAAGTTATTTCAAGTGAACCATGTCCATCTTGATCATCCCCATTTGTATCTGAACAGAGCAGAGCGCCTGGATCCAGGTCGGAGTTTTCTGTCCCAGCCGTCCCGTCAGAAAGCTCGTGATTCCCGCCTCCTTCCTCAACCCGCAGTGAAACCCAGAGACTCCCTCTGTAGGACAGGAGCCGCATCGAGCAGCAGCCTCTCATCTCTGCCCAGGTTGGTTAAAATTTAAGAAAAGGAGTCAGATTGTTGCAAGGAAAACCGCTTTGTTTCCTTTTTTTTTTTTTTTTTTTTGGAATTTACTTTGATGTTTTAAGGCTTTATCGCCACTTCTATCACATCTTTAAAGAGGACTGATAAGATATTGTGAAAATGATGCAGACCTTTAATTTTCCTCTCTGACTCAGGAAACCCATGATTCTGAGGAGCTCCAGATCGGCCACCATTTCTCTTTCATCTTTGGGATCTCTGACCTACAGCCTTTCACCAAATCCAACTTTCTTCAAATGAATCCCGAGAACACCAGCAAAGAATGGATAATAGGAGAAAAATACATTTAGGAAGCGAGGCGAATCCTTTGCAGAGGGACACACTGTTAATTGCCATCATAACATTCAAACACAGAAAACTATTTAAAGCTGCTGATATTGCTGATCATATAATAGCTGATCATCTCCTTGCTCTGTCTCATCATGACCATCTCTTCCTAAAAACAGTTTCCACCCTGTTACAACTCAGTAACAGGGTCAGCCCCTAATAATCCAATAATTCAAACAAAACATACAGATTTCAACACTTTAATTATCAATAATCATAGTTAAAGGCAACGTTTCAGGCACTTCAATTTCCATGTGAAGATGAAAGTCAGCACCTTGACGAACACTAGAGGGCACAGCTTATATTAAACCAGACAGACAGAAACCGGACACACCTAGACTCTATGACCACTGTATGTACAATGAAATACATATATCTGTATTAAAAACTATACTCTGATAAATATATAACTTCATGGATTGTTGAGGAGTAATAGAAGGTATTCAAAATACTGTAGTTTTTTTCTTTTTTAAATAGTTAGAGACTTTAAAAAAAGTAAAATTTGTCCAGTCCAGGTTACATTGGAATACTAAAGGATTCACCAATGTGAGTTTATGGGGGTTATTTGGGACTGGGGTGGTGAGGTGAGCTCTATATACAGGAAATAGTCCCCCTCTTATAAGGCAGGGTGGATTTGATGATTATCTGCGAGCTTATATAAGAAATAAAAATGAAGCCAAAAAGAGGCTGATGATAAATGAGACATTTCAGGCACAATCTGATGGATCTGAGGCACCTGATGGTTACATTCATATTCAAAGGGCACTTTGGGCTCATCAAGGCGGATAAGAAGATGCATACATAAAAAAAAAAAAAATCCAGGAATATCATTGGTTGGTTGTCAACATTGAGGAAGGACGCGTCGTTCTTGTGTGAGCCAATAGCAGCGCAGCGTTGGTGGGATCAGGAGGGAGTCTCTAGTCCAACATTCCCCTCCGAGTCGGACTTGGTGAAGTTTTCCTTCCAAGTCTAGGCGTTCCCTGCGAGAGTCATGAACATAAAACGTGAGGCATGAATAAACCTACGCTGCATTGCTGAACGGTGGAGACAGAGACTTACAGGAGACTGGGCTTTGGAGAAGTTAACATGTGCATAAAGCAACACAGCGATGTCCTTGTGTCCTGCTTCCAGGGCGATGGAGAGAGCGTTACTGCCATCCTAAAGGTGAAGGAAGTCAGTGAGACATAGATTATAACCAAGCAAAAGAGAAGTCTGTATAAATCAGTTGGCTATTCTACAGGCTGATGAAAATATCAACTAAGAAATAAAAATGTAGATTAACTACAATGAAGAACTGGACAAACACAGTGTTATAACCCTGGTAGATAACTACTTCGTGCATTGAGAATTCAAGAGTAGTGCACCCAGGGCCCAATAGGAATGATAAATTCTCATTTTTTGGGTTTTGGTTATTTATTTATATGATCCAATGGCTGTGAAGAACCCAACAGAGCTCCTGGAACCATTGACCACAATGTGGGATCTTGGTTTATCTCTAACTGTTGCCTTATAATATATATAAAGATTTTTTTTTCTTCCCACAGAAAGTCTTATTTTTTCCTTTAGAATCATCAGAACATAAATACAGAAGGAAGTCTAAAAATGGAAGCATTACCATGCTTTCTTTTTTCCAATTTTTCATCCATGATAATAAATTATAAAAGTCAACTTTGCGTTAGCTGTAAGCTAATTAGCATATTTATCATAGCCAAGTCAGATCCTGTCAGAGGATTAAAAACAGATCAGAAGGTCCCTCTTGGAAATGACAACTCATGTCTCAATTAAACATTTATCAGTTAAGTTTTAATAATAACTTCAAGTTTTATTGTATAATGAATAAATGAATAATTGAGGTAACATCTTCCATTAATGTACAGTTCCACTCCTGAATAACTTTGAAAATAAACTTCCCGTTTTAACGCCTAAAGTTTTTTTCCATTAGATCTTATTTTAAATAAAATGTTTCCAGATTTGGGGTTTTGGGTCATTTAAGAGAAACCCAAGTCAGGAAATGTAAGCTTATTTAAAATCTTAAGCTGCAGGCCTGTTTCACAGGCTTAAAGAGACATTTTGTACATTTTTACTGAAAAATACCTTCGAAACAGTCTTTTTATTTGATCCTTTACAACTAAAAAATTGTTCGATGAGCAGACTGACACCTCATTAGTTCAGCGCCAGCCTTCAGCCCATTTTCCTGAATTAACTTTGGGTTGGACAGACGCCGTTTCTGCGAATGTTCAGCCACCAAGTCATCCATTTGTTCTGGCCAGTCACTGAACCAGGTGATTCCAATCTAGACAGTGAGTTAACTAGTGCAGATAAGACTCATGGAGATGACTTTTTGACTCCACATCTCCCACCTCTGAGATTTACTGCTAGAACACTTCATTACTACAAAGAAATTAACAATCAAGCACAAATTCACTTCCTTTGTGCATAAATTCCATTTCTGGATCTGCAGTTTGGTGATATTTAAATTACCACTTTTGGTTGTAATCAATAAACCAAAGCGGTTGTCGTTATGTAACGTTTTCCAGTCCAAGGACCCCCAAACTAATGGCGATATGGAGCGGGGACCCCCTAATTATATATATTGTGTTATATCAAACTGGTCCTATAGTCACTCTATTACAGATGGAGTAATGTAACGAAAGTAATTTCTTCCTGGGATTATTAAAGTATTTCTGATTCTGATTCCTGGTTGATGGGACAGGTGTTGTGAATTAATTGGTGCCCAGCTTGAAAGAGCTCCTGTGTGTCTCTGAATGTGTGCATTGATGACTGAAATACATCTTCTGCCTCCATTTATCTGTTTACTAAAGTGTGTTGAATTCATGTTAATGCAGATTTAAAGATATTTCAATTAGTGGAAAAAATTGCAGGGGGAGTTTAAAAAACAAATTCTAATCAAAACTTTTGCGACCCCCGTGCAGTACCTCCGTGGACCCCCTAGGGGTTGCGGACCCGCTATTGAAGACCTCTGCTCTAAAGCCTCCCAAACAAAATCAATGGATCACTAGTTTTCAGCTCATCCTCTGCCTTACAGCTCTGTATCAGATCAGGTTATTTAAAAAGTATTTATTTTAATATGTGATGTTAAACTCACGCTGTCGCTGAGAGTGGCATCACAGCCCGTTTGGCCCAGCAGCAGTTTGAGGATCTCAACATGGCCATGTTCGCTGGCGCACATCAGTGCCGTGGAGCCCTCGTCGTCCTGGATGTTAACGTCGGCTCCGTGGGCCAGCAAGGCCCGAACCATGTCCATCCTGCCATGACTGACGGCCAGCATCAGCCCCGTCTGACCCGCCTGGAGGAGACCAAGCAGGTTTTATGACTTCCCTGCCGATACTACAGGCTAACCCCCACCCAAAAAAGATTTTAAAACTTTTGAGCAAATTATTGAAAATAACACCCTCACTTAAAAATGCTCTTAATATAGAAAAAAACTTTTAGAACAGAAATAAAAGTGGAGGAGGTCGTTTAGTGATGCTAGCTGCTAGTGTATCCAAGAGGTTTAGGGGATTGGTAGTCTGGGTGTTGAAGGGGGATCACAAGAGGCATTTAGATCAGGAGTGAATTTTGTTCCATTATTGTTGCAAGTAAAAACATGTTTTACTAGTGGTAATAAAATAAAGAAAAAGGAATCCAGACATGTAACTTTAAAAAAACGTCTTAATGAAAAAAGATTGAGAGCAACTCTGCTGTTTTCTTAGATTTTATTTTTTCAATATTTATTTTTACAAATTTCTTTTTACAAATTTTACATTTTCAAATTGTATTTTTTATTTATTCTTTTCAAATTAACCCTTTTCATATAGGGTTTAAAAAATGTCATTCTATCCAAAATGTGTTTAACAGATCATTTTTATTACAAGCTGAAAACAAATGTTTCATTGTGGCCAATAAAAGTATTCTTGACCCATGCAGATGAACAGAAATACACCTGTTCTCCTCACTCTGGAGGAATAGCTGAAAAAAGCTGATTATTTTAAAATTTCAATTTACAAAGCATGTTCTTTGCTTGCCACAGTAATGGAACAAAATTCACTCTATAGTTAGATCAGGGGAACAAAAGATGACGTTAATCTCCTGGAAGAAGTCTATCGACGGACAGGTATGGTGAACGGCACAAAGGAAGACCGTCAATCAGAGATGTCTGCAAAATATCTCCATATCACTGCCAGCCTGAAGCTGAACTGCTCCCCAAAAACTGAGTCGTTCAAAACCTTCCAGGAGGGATCTACTCATTATGTCAGCAATGCCTGAACCCATCAGAACCATCCAGGCAAGTGTTTTTATATCAGAATAATTAAAACATTTTCAGCTCTCCAGTATGTAGGTTGCTCCAGTTCAAGGTCTAAACGTGTCACACTAAAGGAGAAGTGAGCTTCTGATGACATTTGTCATTTTTAAAGCCCTTTCCTTGCAGATGCATTCTGGTGGGCTTTGACCAGTAGTCAGCACATGCTTCAATCTGAGTAGGTCAGTTTTCTTCATTTATTGAATTTTCAAAACATGCTGAGAGAAAGCTTGTATGTAGCTCACCAATCCTTCCACATTCAATGTCAGTGAGCTGTTTGGATTTAGCAATCAGGTGGTTTGACAGGACTTGTCTGATATCATAAAAAGGTATCCACATTTTTGTTTTTTCGAGGCACCAATCTTAAACCTATCAGCTTAAGAGCAGCTCATGTAAGTTAAGCTGTTTTTTAAAATAAAATTCCTACAAAATAAAAAAAATAAAAAATCATGAAGCTCTGCTTAGAACCAGCTGAGGATCCAAATGTGCAGAATGCCATTTCTTGTCTTTTTTAAAATTCCCTAAACTTTTGATCATGCAAACAGTGTAAAGACCACTAGGGGTCACTATAGTACAAACGTTCCCAGAACACATGAAGAAAACAGAAAAAACATAAAGATGCTGAAGAGGAACAAGACCAATTTTAAACCAAGCTATGTTACTCCACATTAACTTTCCCCATCATGCTCTGCAGGCCACTGTGACCCACCTGACTGGCACGGGCGTTCACGTCTCCCTTGCTGAAAAGCTCCTCCACGATGCACATGTCCTTTGGCGTCTCCACGGCAGCCAGCGCGGCGAGCATGATGGGCGTGTACCCGGCCTTATTCTGCTGGTTCACGTTGCAAACGTCTGAAACACAAACACAGAGTTTAAATCTCACTGTGGGAGCTAAGCCCCCCCCCCCCCCCCCCCTCCTGCTCCACGCTGATTGGGCTCCTTCCTGTAACTGACTCCTCCGCAATAACAGTCCAGATTTATCAGGCTTCAGGCAGTCTCTTCCTTAAGCTGCCTGTAAGACGCCTGTAAACACGATTCATTATCTTGATAGCTGGTATCACAAGGACCAAAACAGCAGTGACTGCGAGGGCAGGGTGGGGTGGATGTGCTGTCAGAGACTCAGTCCAAAAAAAGGACGAGGAGATAGAAGTCGATTAGAGAAGAAAGTGTCTGAGACCTTATCCCAGTCCATTAGAGCTTTAAAAACGCTGCAGCACTGGAACAGGTCGAGTGTAAACAGTTCAAGTTCTTTCTAGATTTACGTTTTGAACACATGCTAAGAAAAAGCAGCTTTTTATCGTTTTATCGCGTTTAATGTTTCAGATGAGAACCAAACTTTTAATATCAAAGATAAACCAGATGCAAAACACATCATTTAAATTATGATGAATCTATTTAAAGAATAATGCATGATAAGCTGGGGCCGTCCTTAGCGACACCAGCTGGTTATCAGCAGCTTTGTGTATCTGCCAGAAAGCATGAGTAGCCTGTTTAAGATCATGGCACAGCATCTGATTTTAGTCCAGACTTTGACTAGGCCACTCCAAAGTGTTAATTTTTCGCTTTTCTGAGCCATTCAGAGGTGAACTTACTGGTGTGTCTTTTTGTTGTTTTCCAGACGCTGGAGTTCAAGCTTTTAAACAGATGGCTGAATGTTCTGGAATTTCTTATAAAGAGTAAAATCAATGTTTTGATCACTTATAGGTGATGGGTTCTTTTCTTATCTGGACAAGTCAACTTGGAGAGTTTCACTGTTTAAACACTATTTCTTAAGGTACTGAGTTATCAGTGATGTTTCTGATTTAAGTTGTTGAAGGCCAGCTTCATGTGGTCTGGTCCTACTAAGAGGATTTCTTGACTCTAAGGCTCTGGCAGCAATCAGACCTGGCTTTGGCGGGTCAAACTGAACACAGAACAAAAAAAGTGTGTTTTTAGCCCTCACCTGCATCTAGCAGCTTCTTCACCACCTGGAAGTTGGAATGAGACACGCTATAGTGCAGCGCCGTGTTGCCATTGCCGTCGGCCATGTTGACGATGTGGCGCAGCACGTCTGGTGAGACTGCTTCAAAAGCCCGCAGGTAGTCCTCCACCATCCCGGCAACCGCTGCCTTCTGGCTGGATGCTCTGAACCACTCGTGCTGCACAGTGTTCAGGCTGGCTCTCTATGGAGGCAGGCCAGAGTCATTAACCAGCTTAGACTCACATCAACAAACAAGCAGACCTATCAGTGATATCAAGGCAGTGGGGTCTGCAAAAACAGTGGGGTCTGCAAAAACAACAACAATCAACTCAGGGAGTACATGCCACAACTAATTACCATAAAAAACAAAACAAAGCAAGGCTTTTTTCTCCCCAAACACCCTGCTGCTGTTTGGGGAGCACCTGGCTGTAATTGAGACTTGATGACCCCAAGATGACACTCTTTGCTGCAGCTGAACTTTTTCACCTCCCTTCCTGTCCTGCTCACTTTGCAAAGTGGTTAAATAAACATGGGTCCTCATCTAGCCTAGTGGCTGAAATGTAGACTCATAAATAACTAATATAAAGTTCCAAGATCAATAACAACAGAAGTAAGAAACTAAAAATATACCAGGGAACATCTATAAAAATGGTGTTTCCGTTAAAAATAGCATTTCTAAGCAGAGAAGGTTGTTTTCCCTCCTCTTAAATGAAAATGCAGATTACTAAATGTTTTAATGAGGGAGTTTGTTTAGAAAAGCATTTCAATGAGGTTCTAATAAATTTAGAAGATGGACAAATATTCACATATGGACAAAGAGGGGGCAACAATAAATATCCATTAATTAAGGTCAAAATAGTGTAAAAATATATGGATAAAGACCCGACAGCCACACAGAGTAGATGGATTTTATACTTTAGAACAGGATCTAATAATGTGTAACATGTAAACATCCCACAGTGCATCCTTTATAAGTGATAAATATTAAACTAGTTTTACAGTTGCTACTTTTCTTTAGGATATTTCTGTATATCTATGATATTTAAACCAGTTAAAATATTAATGTTTTTAACATTTATCTTTGAAGCAAATTTTAGTTTTGGCTTTTTTATCTTGAGATTCTGTTAAGATATAATAAAACATTATTTTTCCCTCTAAAGGTGTATACAGCCAATGAAAAAAAAAGTAAAAAGTGATTCATTTACTGATTAAAAGCCGATAAAATGGATCTCCTCACCAGATCTTTGCTGCTCACAGCCTTCGAGTCGTTTAGGTGAGTGTTGAGAACGTCACACGCAGCCAACATCTTCTCA